TAAATAATAATAATAATAATAATGCATTTGTATTATAGACCGTAACACACACGATCAGTTTAGAAGCTAAATGTTTGTGATGTTTTGTTTTGATCACATTAAATTATTAAATATTGTCTAACCCTAACCCTAACCCTTCCATCATGTTTTTACTTTACGCTACATCAGCCCAAAATCTAATCTGTCTAAAATCTAGAAAAACTCAGAATAAATAGACATGAGATAAGATTTTAGATTTCAATGAATGAACCTTTATTTGTATAGTTCCTTTCCAACAGTCAAACACAACTAACAATAAAAAATTATTTCAGCTTTATTTCCTCAGATCAGGGGTCTCTCCTCTGAACTCCTTTTGTAAAACAAAAATATTTGAGTTCTGCTCATTTTAGTGCTCGTAAGAAATCAAGTAATTTTTTAATTTTTATTTTATGCATTTATTTTGGACAAGTAAGCAATTTACATTATTTTACAATGGAACATATGATATTAGTGAATCATAACAGAAACAACAACAAACAACTAAAAATTGCTCATAAAGGAGTAGGAAGAAGAAAACTGATTCTCTTCTAATGTAACACAATGAGCTTTCTTTTGCATTCTTCACACATTTTACATTAAACCATATGAACTATTACAAGTGCGGATGAAGCGATGAAGTTAGAAATGACAGATTTACACCAGTAACATTCAATCACATCTGAGTATGAGTGTGTGTTGGCGAGCTGCGTGGAAGGAGGTGGAGAGCTACAGGCTGAAGAACGCTGCTTTAGAGGAGAAACAGTTCCAAAAGGCAATCAGTGAAATGTAATAAAACATAACCTGAACAAACCTTTGACCCAGATGACATCTGTACCTTTAGCCCCAAAAGAATGTGTAGTTTTATATTTGACCTGTGGCCTTTAGCGGCCTGTGACTGGACGTTCCTGAGCCTCTGACCCTGTGTTCAGGTGATGGAGGACTCCATGAGCTCGGCCACCACACTGACCACACCCCAGAACCAGGTGGACGACCTGATCCAGAGAATCGCAGAGGAGAGTGGCCTGGAGGTGATGGACCAGCTGAGCCAGCTGCCCGCTGGCTCCTCCACGCTGGGAGCAGACAGCACTCGCAGTCAAGAGAAGGAAGACAACCTCTCCCGACGGTCAGAACATGGGCTTAAAGGGCCTAGTACACAATTCTCTGTTCTAATGCCATTTCCTCGTCACGAACAGACCCGGAGTTGTGTGTCATTTCATTCACACATATTTAATACACAAACCCTGCACATTGTGAAAAAGCTTGGTCAAAATTTAAGATATATGGCAAAGGAGAAATTAAATTTGTCAACTGGATAAGCATGAATTCTACCTGGACAACTGAGGGATTCTACACACAATTTAAGACATAAACGCTTAAATCTATCAGAAAATGACTTAAAATTAGTGAAATGATGCGTCCATGCAGCAAGATAATTTTACTGGACAATTTTTCTTAAAATAAATTACCTCTAGACAAGAATGAAACATCTCAGAATTACTAAGTAGATAATAAATCTGAAAACAAGATGAATAACCTGATATAAGTTTTATTTTCTCAAACAGAAAACACTACAGGAGGTGCTCCACTGCCTTTGTAAATTACACAGAGAATCATTTGGATCATTTCAGTGCTGGGGCTGTATCTTACCCCCAGTCTTAGCGCTAAGCGCGAGTGGGCGTGTCCAGGTGGGGCTGTACTTCTGCTGGAGACTGGAGTGGGACAGTACAAGTACAAATATGGTGATGGCATCTGCACCAATCTGTGAGCGCTGTGGTATTTAAAAGCTCTGACCGTGTGGGTAAAGTCTGTAATCTTTGCCTCATTACAGGCAGCACAGAGGAGTGTGGGGAAAAGTTAAATATGTGACAGTAAAACAGCTCTGGAGCCCTGCGATGCAAGTACAGACCAGCAGAGGCGCAAGGAATATAGAACTTTGTGTGGGCCATGACAGAACTGACTGGGCTTGTGTTTCGAACACTCTGCACACCCCTTTCATTAATTAATTAATTAATTAATCATTGCATTTATATAGCGCCTTTCAAGATACTCAAAGTGCTTTACAGTTCATTATTCAGTCACTCCACACCTGGTGGTGATAAGCTACTACTGTAGCCACAGCTGCCCTGGGGCAGACTGCCGGAAGCGAGGCTGCCAATCTGTGCCATCGGTCCCTCTGACCACCACCATCACTCACACACACACCACTTTCATACTAGGCAATGTGTGTGAAGTGTCTTGCCTAAGGACACAGGGACAGTTTTTGTGACCGGTGCCTCCTGTGGCTCCTGATTTCCCCAGTGT